GATGGAGAAGAGAGATAGAGATAGGAGTTAAAACGTTAGTGAGGTCTTAGGGTGAGCTACTTGCTATAGCAAAGGATAGGAAGACGTCGTGAGTTCATTGAGGGTTATGTTATACTAAGGGATGAATGGCAGAAGACAAAGAATTCAAACCTATTATTGAAACTAAAAAAACTGGTGAAAAAATAAACTAATTGTTGACATGATTATCGCGACTGTCAAGCGATTCCACCGAGTAAGATTGAGAACAATCACGCATAATTCAAGCAACTAAATAATGAAACTCGACAATGATTAACTTTCATCTTTATTTCTTAAATGTGTCTCCCTCTCCTCGACGCAGTCATATCTCCCTCTCCTCGACGCAGTCATATCTCCCTCTCCTCGACGCACTCATATCTCCCTCTCCTCGACGCACTCATATCTCCCTCTCCTCGACGCAGTCATATCTCCCTCTCCTCGACGCAGTCATATCTCCCTCTCTTCGACGCAGTCATATCTCCCTCTCCTCGACGCAGTCATATCTCCCTCTCCTCGACGCAGTCATATCTCCCTCTCCTCGACGCAGTCATATCTCCCTCTCCTCGACGCAGTCATATCTCCCTCTCCTCGACGCAGTCATATCTCCCTCTCCTCGACGCAGTCATATCTCCCTCTCCTCGACGCAGTCATATCTCCCCCTTAAAGGACTGAAAAATCATCCATGGCGAAATTATTAAAATAGAAATAGTTAAGAAATGAGAACTTTAAAATAATATTCTAAGCTCTCTCAGCTAACGGTGTCTGGCATAACCCCCCCCCCCTTCCCTCCCTCCCTACCCCAATCATATCATCTTCTCCGAAGGATGGGGAAGTCACCGTGTAACGAAATATTGTAAATAAATTGAGCTTTGCATCCGTGTCTACCCAGACTTAAATAGGTAGCATTACCTTGTACAGAGAAGTAAATGTAGCCAGTGTAACAGCTACCACATCACCCATCCAGTACCAGTACTACTAAAACCACCACCACCATCACAACAACAACAATAACAACAAAAACTGTCACTACAGTCTGTGTAGGTCGGTGTAGACAAGAGGAGTTAGCGCCCCAGGCTGTCGCCACGGACTATTTAGTTTGATTGTGCCCCGGACATAGGAAAAAAAACTTCATCACGTGACCAGTGATGGAACCCACAGTGAAAAGTATACTCACGAATAGGGGAGAAAAATACCCCGCACCCGTCATCTCTCCTCTCTGAGGGAACGAATTTTAACTGACCTTGGCATCCGTGTCCTCCCCAACTAAACTGGACTGTAAGCCGTCTTAGTTAACAGTTTCTGTCATCGCCGAACAGTTTTTGACCGAGAAACGTCGCGGGGAGGCTAACTAGGACTTAACTGAAACCGGATGTCTTTGGGCGAAAGGCGCAGGTATCGCAGCCTAGGTGTAAACCACAACACAACGTGGCAACCACCCTTTTAGGGGAAAAAGAACAATTATCACCCAGCAGGGAATCGAACACCGGTCACCCGATTGAAGGATGACATACTTACAAATTTACTACCGACGACTGAAGAGTTTAGGTCAGATATCGCAGCCTAGCTGTAAACCACAACACAACGTGCCAACGGCCCTCTCGAGGGCGAACGAAGATTACCCGTGTCATGACCATTGAGCATCACGTCGCCGCTGTCGCAGGCTAGCTGTAAACCCCAAAACCGAAAAAGGCGTAGATATCGCAGCCTAGCCATAAACCACAACACAACGTTCCAGCCGCCCAGTTAAGGGCTAAAAAAAATTATATCACCTCGCAGGGAATCGAACGCGGGTCACCTGCATGATAGGCAGAATAGTTAACAACTTCGCTACCAAACACTCAAGCAAAGAGTGGAAATGAAATTATATAATAATGCAAAGTTCAATAAGAGCTCAGCAGTCAAATATGGCCGATCACATAAAAACAAATCCTGGCCGGCAACGAAACAAATAATGATTTGGCCATACCTGGAGCTACGTCGTTCGTGGTTTGTGTGATTTTCTGACAAAAAAAATCCCGTTTGGAGTCAAAGGCAACGTTGTGTGCAAATTTGAAAGCAATCGGTTCAGTAGTTTCCGAGTTTTTAGCTTACATCATCGGAAAATTAACATTTTTATTAATATAGATTATATAATATAGATTTACTACGTGTGTACAAGCTTGTGAATAATATTAATGAAATGATTGCTGATTCCCTTTTCCCCCATACTTTCCCACAACATATTCCTGTCAACTCTATCGAAGGCTTTTTTCCTGGTCTATGAATGTCAACACACATGTCTTAACGTATTCTATTGCCCTCTCTGATAGTTGTCTCAATGTTTAAATGGCATTTGTGTAACTTCTGTTTTGTCGAAAGCCCGTCTGTGCTTCTGAAAGTTGATACTTTATCAATGGTCTCAGCCTTTTTTCGATGATCTTAGCATGCATTTTCCCAGTTTGACTGAGAAGTGATATTCCTCTGTAATTAGTACATTCCCTCTCACTTCATATATTTTTCCATAGTGGGACGATAACAACAGTTTGCTAATCTGATGGAATTTCTTCATTTTCCCTTGATTTATGTCACCTGAAATATTCTCTTCAACCAAATGGCTCCCGCTTCTCCTGCTGCCACAATGGCCTAAGCTGATAAATCATCAATACCTGTCGCCTTTAGTCTAAGGGCAGTGCCAATGACATATTCTGCTTCAAATAATAATATACATGGTTCTAGTTCCTCTGCCGTTAGTTCCCAGTTGTTTTTATGTTCTTTCCTGCTTTCATCTGTGTTATTGCAGCTAAGTAATGATTCAAAGTAATTGCTCCACCTTGCTAAAATTGTGTTAGGTTCTATTAAAGTTTGACCATTTCAGTGATACAAGGCACTAAAAGCAGTTTGTTTTTCGTGGTTATAGAAATTCTCGTTAACCAATAAAACGTTCTTCAAGAAAGAATACATCCTGATTGGAACCACAATTTTGTGTGTGTTACTCGAATTTTTTTCTTAACCGACGTTAACGAGGGCTTATTAACAAAATCTCTATATTACTTCATCTGTTTCCCTGCTCCCCTCCACCCCTTTATATCTGTCAGCGCCACATGAAATACTCAATGCGCTACTGGGGTTAAAAAAATTGTCCCTACGTCTTTACCTACACGCCACATGCTTAATAATTATAGTCGTAAAAGTTCAGAAGACCAGACTTTCCCATCAAGCTCTCATATTGACACCGGAAAGGAAGAAAACGGGGAAGACCAGACTTCCCCATCAAGCTCTCATATGGACACCGGAAGGGAAGAAAACGGGGAAGACCAGACTCCCCCATCAAGCTCTCATATGGACACCGGAATGAAAAAAACAGGGAAGACCAGACTTTCCCATCAAGCTCTCATATGGACACCGGAAAGGAAGAAAACGGGGAAGACCAGACTTCCCCATCAAGCTCTCATATGGACACCGGAAGGGAAGAAAACGGGGAAGACCAGACTCCCCCATCAAGCTCTCATATGGACACCGGAATGAAAAAAACAGGGAAGACCAGACTTTCCCATCAAGCTCTCATATGGACACCGGAAAGGAAGAAAACGGGGAAGACCAGACTTCCCCATCAAGCTCTCATATGGACACCGGAAGGGAAGAAAACGGGGAAGACCAGACTCCCCCATCAAGCTCTCATATGGACACCGGAATGAAAAAAACAGGGAAGACCAGACTTTCCCATCAAGCTCTCATATGGACACCGGAAAGGAAGAAAACGGGGAAGACCAGACTTCCCCATCAAGCTCTCATATGGACACCGGAAGGGAAGAAAACGGGGAAGACCAGACTCCCCCATCAAGCTCTCATATGGACACCGGAAGGGAAGAAAACGGGGAAGACCAGACTCCCCCATCAAGTTCTCATATGGACACCGGAATGAAAAAAACAGGGAAGACCAGACTCCCCCATCAAGCTCTCATATGGACACCGGAATGAAAAAAACAGGGAAGACCAGACTCCCCCATCAAGCTCTCATATGGACACCGGAATGAAAAAAACAGGGAAGACCAGACTTCCCCATCAAGCTCTCATATGGACACCGGAATGAAAAAAACAGGGAAGACCAGACTCCCCCATCAAGCTCTCATATGGACACCGGAATGAAAAAAAACAGGGAAGACCAGACTTCCCCATCAAGCTCTCACATGGACACCGGAAGGGAAGAAAACGGGGAAGACCAGACTCCCCCATCAAGCTCTCATATGGACACCGGAATGAAAAAAACAGGGAAGACCAGACTCCCCCATCAAGCTCTCATATGGACACCGGAATGAAAAAAACAGGGAAGACCAGACTTCCCCATCAAGCTCTCACATGGACACCGGAAGGGAAGAAAACGGGGAAGACCAGACTCCCCCATCAAGCTCTCATATGGACACCGGAAGGGAAGAAAACGGGGAAGACCAGACTCCCCCATCAAGCTCTCATATGGACACCGGAATGAAAAAAACAGGGAAGACCAGACTCCCCCATCAAGCTCTCATATGGACACCGGAATGAAAAAAACAGGGAAGACCAGACTCCCCCATCAAGCTCTCATATGGACACCGGAATGAAAAAAACAGGGAAGACCAGACTTCCCCATCAAGCTCTCATATGGACACCGGAATGAAAAAAACAGGGAAGACCAGACTCCCCCATCAAGCTCTCATATGGACACCGGAATGAAAAAAACAGGGAAGACCAGACTCCCCCATCAAGCTCTCACATGGACACCGGAAGGGAAGAAAACGGGGAAGACCAGGAAAGACTCTGCCTAAAAAAATCATCAGAGAAGGCTTAACTATGGACCTAATGAACATCTAGGACCTAAAACAGGTCGCAACTAACCACCAGACATGGAGAGCTATGATCTCTGCTATATAGCCGCCTCAGAGGGAAAGACTCTAATAGTTGTAGCAAGCGGAATAGTTAGCTCCGAATCGACTGCATATTGTCAACATTTGGAACTATTACTTTACCATTGTTGTAGAGTTTGCCAGGTAACGCCCTTGAACTGTTATAACTGAACATATGATGTTGACCTCCACCACACAGTGACCCGGAAGAGCTGGCCAGGTCTCTTGGCGATTGCCTCTGTCCTTGGCAGCATTCGGAAATCTCTCCCCATCTTGAAGGACCTGAAATTAGGTAAGTAACAGTCAGTTGAGTTGAGTTAAGAACCCGCATAGCAGCGTTAATGGCATTCTTATATGCGAACGTCATCACCTTCGTCAGCCAGCGCAGTTTCAATTCCGACGAAATCATTAGCAGCTTGAGTATAATAGATGGTGGCCAACGCTGAGCACGCACCTCGCGGAACCTGCGATCATAATTAAAAGTCAAGGACCCGTCTTGGGACCTAGTGACCGTAAGTAAGAGATTGCACTTCTCTCTAGTCAAAACAATAAAAAGGTTTAAAGACAACAGGATTGAATTAATCCCACCGGATTTCCCCCCCCCCCCCCCCCCCAAATAGCTCAGTCTTTCTCAAGGATGAAATCCTGCATGTACAAATACAGGTAAGCCCGGTTCAACGGTAAGGTAGTGTTGCGACTCAAAAACCTATGAAGTAATTTGAGTACGGACCAGGCAGGTAAGCCCGGTTCAACGGTAAGGTAGTGTTGGCACTCGAAAACCTATGAGGTAATCTGAGTACGGACCAGGCAGAAATGGGTCAAATACCCTCCAGTTTCTATCCGCCTCTCTTTTCTATCTGAACCACTCCTTACTGGTCTCTTTCTGCCAAGCTGCTGATGGCCTATAGGTAGCGTCACACGATATACGAAATTCCGTAGCTTCGTTGACAGTACACAGGGAATCTGCATTCGGCGCGCACAAAAGAAATAAAAAACGTTTGGAGAGCCAGGGGGTTGCTAGCCCGAAGACAACTCATGGATACGTTAAACCATCCAAAACTGACTATTTTTGTTTCAAAATGGTGGAATTTTACTTTTTTTAAACACTACATGAAAGGGTATTCATTTCTGCACATAATAATGCAAGTCTGGTTACAAAATTCAACCTTGAAGTAATTTTATTAATTTTTTTTAATGGCATGGTAACTGTTCATATACTAAATTATATAGGCAACATATTCAAACTGTCATAACTCAGTTATTTATCAACCCTTTTTAATAATTATTTCGTCCATTTGTTAGAAATTGTATAATAACTGGGATAGCCTAATCTATGTAACCCATGTCTTCTGGCAGGCTGGAAATAGCAGTGAATGATGCTGTTGTTACATATAAGGAAAGAGAACTAGTCAGGGCTAAGCTGGGGCACAGTTTCCACATGTTGTAGATTTGATCAGATACGTGAAAGAGCAGCTGAAAAAGGTAATAAAATGGATAAGAAGGTAAAACGAGCAAAGTAAAGTATTCAGAGCTGAGGAATACCCTGAGTATGACCCACATGCAGCAGGGACTCATTAGATCAAGGATTATTGTGAAAACCAGCTTGGTCGGTTATTTTTAGTGATTTTCTCAAAAATCATTTTTTGTTTACATTTTTCCCCCACATTGCATATACTATCTCAGAAAGTTACTAACACGTTGTCTTCATACTTGGTACACACATAGAAAATGATCATTGAATCTGACTGAACTAACATAAATACAACCGTCCGAATACTTGTTGCATATTTATCATATATAGGAACCCTTACCAATAATTTTTTTTTTGAAAATAGTATTGTCCCGAATAAATGAACATAACTTTTTAACCGTTGCTTTAATTGAATAGTATTAAGCAAACTCAGTTTGAAATATAATGCAATGTTTGTGCAAATTGTAAGTAAATCATCTTTATTAGGTTTTGAAATACATTAGCGAATGTTAAGTACAAATTTGCCATATTTCCGCATAAAATGTGACATTTTCTATCAATACCCGTAAAATTTTGTGGATTTTAGGCCCACACATAATTTTTCCTTCGATCTTTAACTAGAATGTACCTACAGAAAGCATTGTTTCTAACATATTTAATCAAATTCAATTTGGGCGTTTAACCTGTCCTCATCCAGACAGATGAAGACAGTCATCATGTTTCGGCCACGTTATGAGAAGAGGGAAAATGGAACCTATTGTGACCACTGGAAAGATATGTGGAAGGAGGGATAGCAGAAGACAATGAGAGAAGATGCTTGACAGTCTTGTTGCATGGCATGGAGGTGTGTCAGCACACGAACTAATACAGGCTGCAGGAGATCGCAGATTGTGGAGAGGCATAATCGCCCATGGCAGTCGGCAAGGCACCTGATAATGATTATGAGAGGGTTCGAAACTCAAAACTCAAACGGTATTAGAAAGGGATAGAAACTACTAGACCTCAATTTGCCACGGCCCAGTTTGTAGAGACAGCTGCCGTGGTGTAGCGGCTAGATGCTCACCGGCCAATTTGAAGGTCATGGGTTCCGGTGATGACAGAGCCTGACCTTGTTTTTTTTTTTTAAGAAATGACTTTGGCTGCTAGGTCTACCCAGCCTCAAATGGGTGCCAGGTGAAGTCCTGGGAAGTAAAGGCAGCCGGCATGATGTTGACAGAGTGCAGGTTGGTGAAAAAGAGATAGCTCTATAGAGACCTATGAGCCCAGAGCCTACTGAAGGCGATGAGAAGGGTCCTTGATGAGACTGGTAGCCATGACAGTTTTTCTTTAAATGTGATAAGTTCAGCCCACTGATACCCTTGAGGGCTGTAGAGTTGAAATTATAATAGCTATTTATTTACCTGTATAAACCACACTTTATATGTACAGTATTTGCCCATGACCGACCTCTCTAATCCTCCTCTGCCTTCGCCCATGTTCTCATCCTTTCTCCCCCCCCCCCTCTCTCTTTATCCCTGTCCCTCCCCCTGTGTGCGTTCTCTGTGTGTGTGTGTGTGTGTGTGTGTGTGCGTGCGGGCGTGCGTGCGTGTCTGTGTGTTATTCAAGCCACATTTTCTGTCCCAAGCCATCTTCGCTAGAATTAACGTCATCCTTTAATAAAATTAACGAGGTTAAACTGACGGCCACAAATAACATGTCAGTATGGTTGCTGCACTTTTGCCGCATAGTTTATGTGCCCTTTTTTACCCGTCAGCCGCTGGGCTAAGATATGTCTTGTTGCGTCTGACTAATTACAACTGGTTTATTTTGTTGACAAGACTAAGTATTGCTGGTTTATCTTGTTGACTGGTTTACAGGGCGTCGACCAAAAAAGACATCACGCGTTTGAACAGGTTATATACCAAATCCACTAGGGCTGTACCGAATAGTGATTTTCACTATTCGGCCGAATACGAATAGTGGGACCAACTATTCGGCCGAATACGAATAGTGTATCATTATCATCAGGTGCCTTGCTGACTGGCGTGGGCGATTATGCCTCGTCACAGTTTGCGATCTCCTGCAGCATGTATTAGTTCATGTGCTGACACACCTCCATGCCATGCAACAAGACTGTCAAAAATCTTCTCTCGTTGTCTTCCTCTATCCCTCCTTCCACAGATCTTTTCAGTGGTCAACACTTGTTCTTTTTTCCCTTTTCTCATAACATGGCCGAAAAATGACGACTGTCTCCTTCTGATGTCTGTGATTGTCTTCGGGCTCTCGCCTCTTTCAAAACCATCGTTCGCTCGACCGTTCGTTCGATGTAATTTAAATGCACCTTTATATTCTCGTTAGCAATATCTTCAAATTTGATTTGGGCGAAGACACCCTGAAAGAACGAAAAATGCATGATCTCTCTCTCTATATATATATATATATATCTTTCTCTCTCTAACTCACACACACAGACACACAGACACACAGACACACACACACACACACACACACACACACAGACACACACACACACACACACACACACTGCGGTTGGCATTTTATGCAGTTAGATACACTTTGAGTGTGAAAAAAAGGAAGAAAAAAAAAACTTTTTTCGACTGTTACGAGGAGAGACAATTAAAATTGTAACTTTTAAGTATTTTTATGCCTTCTTTAATAATGTCACAATTTATAGCCGACTTTTCTTGCTTATCGCCGCGGCACCCCTGGCATACGCACCCAGTTTGAGAAGCTCTGCTGTAATGCCTGGCTCGAGTCAGCAGGCAAAGACCTTGCCAGCTGCTGTATCACGCCACCGGGTCGCAGTTTCCTCCACACTACGACAGACTTAGGCAGCAGCAACTATTGTGTTAATGAGAGAGTTATTTCAGTCTATCGCAGCGTATGCAGAAACGGGTGTAAGGTAACCACTATTCGTATTCGGCCTGACTGCAAGTATTCGGCCGAATACCGAATAGTTATTATTAGGGCTGTACCGAATATGATTTTCACTATTAGGCCGAATACGAATAGTGGGACCAACTATTCGGCCGAACACGAATACGAATAGTATATCATCATCATCAGGTGCCTTGACGACTGGTGTTGGCGATTTTGCCTCGCCACAATCTGCGATCTCATGCAGCATGTATCAGTTCGTGTGCCGACACACCTTCATGCCATGCAATAAGACTGTCAAGAATCTTCTCTCATTGTCTTCCTCTATCTCTCCTTCTACATATCTTTCCAGTGGTCACCACATGTTCCATTTTCCCTCTTCTTATGAGATGGCCGAAAAATGACGACTGTCTCCTTCTGATATCTGCGATTAGTTGTCTTCGGGCTCCCGCCTCTTTCAAAACCTAGTGGTTGCTTTTTTTAGGCTGTCCAAGGTATTTTTAGCATTGTTCTGTAAAACCACATCTCTGAGGCCTCAAAAAATTGTTTGGCCTGGCTACCGATTGTCCAGGACTCATAGCCATATGTTAAAACTGGATGTATGTAGCAAGCAAGACAAAGATATATTGCATAAGATGTTCTTTTTTTTTTTTTTTTTTTTTTTATAGAATGCTGTTTTTGCCTGTCCTATTTTGTTTTTTATTTTAGTAATGCATCTTTCATCTGATTTTATCCATGTGCCAAATTCACATTTAAATCATCGTTCGTTCAGGCGTTCGTTCGATGTAATTTAAATGCACCTCCATATTCTCGTTCGCAATATCTTCAATTTGATTTAGCCAAAGACAAGAAAAAGGTATGCTCTATCTCTCTCTCTCTCTCTCTCTCTCTCTCTCTCTCTCTCTCTCTCTCTCTCTCTCTCTCACAGATACACTTTCAAGTTTCTTCATGCCTTCTTTGCCTAAATCTGTCGTAGCGGGTAAAACTGCGACCCGGTTGCATGGTAACAGCGCCTGCTGACTCCTAGGCATTACAGCAGAGGTTCTAAAACTGGGTTCGTATGCCAGGGGTGCCGCGGCGAAAATCAAGAAAAGTCGGCCATAAATTGTGATATTTTTAATGAGAGAGTTATTTCAGTCCATCGCAATGTATGCAGAAATCACTATTCGTATTCGGCCCGACCGCCACTATTCGGCCCCGAAGCGAATACGAAGCGAATATTCGGTACAGCCCTAGTTATTATGTCGACTATTCGGCCTTAAAGAGAACACCAAGCGAATATTCGGTACAGCCCTAGTTATTATGTCGACTATTCGGCCTTAAAGAGAATACCAAGCCAATATTCGGTACAGCCCCGGTATCCACACCACTAGCATGTCGGTCAAATGGTGTTAGACCCAGCGGCTCTCCATGGGTGACATCAACATTAGGCCTGGCACATTTTCTTCCCATGATAATTTATGATCATAAACATGAAGCCTTTGGCCACATTAAAAGACAAATTTTTGCATTGCCAAGGCCATCCTCCTTTTAATTTCTGTTGAACAGTGTCCCTTGTTGTTTATTATAGATTCTAGATATTCAAAGTTTGTGACATTTTCAATTTCTTAATCATTTATTGTTATTTTTGGGTAACAGCCAGTTTTATCTGTGGACATCATTTTCGTTTTCTTAACATTCAAGAACAGATTTTGATCTTCACTGTGCTTTTGGACAAACAATATTAAATTTTTGATTCCCTTTACGCTGTTCGAAAAGAGGACTGTGTCATCTGCGTAGCGGAGTTCCGGAATAGGGTTGCCACCAATTTTGAGCGGATTATAACTGTCACAAGTCTGGTCATTTTTGACATTTCTCATTATATTTTCTGCGTATATATTGAATAAGTATGGTGAGAGAATGCATCCCTGCCTCACCCCCTTTTGCACCTCGAACCAATCAGATGTTTCACCAGCTGCTCTGATGGCCGCTTAATGTTCATGATAAAGATTTCTTTAGAGCGGTGAGCGGTTTTCTGTTGTAGGACCGTCGGGCTTAAGGCCGTCATCACAACTACCCTTACTTGCTCTGCCATCGTTCTCTTCCCCAGTTCGCGTTTGTGATCTGCCTGGCCTGGGGGCCTCACCATCAGATCTTTGAGTTTCATTTTTGTCTTCCATGATGAGTTTCTTGGGATAGTAATGTGGTAGTTTTCCGTTGCTTTCCACATCCACGTGGCTTTAGACTACGTCCTCAGCCTTAAGCAACCTTTTTGATTGCTAGGGCAAGTGAGTGCCCTGCTCTGTGATGCTCCTGCTAACAGCAGAGGGCCCCAGAGGTGCCCACTTATCCCGGCGGATACTCGGTCCCCATAGCTGCGTTGGCCACACCGCAGTGTGTTTACTGTCCTCTACCGCGTGGAGGTGCAGTTGGGGTTTCCCCTTCACTGAGTCTTGAGACCCAGAACAGGATTTCCCAAAACTCTCCAGTACTTTTCAGAGGACGGACACCCCACCACATGACTAAAATACACACAAACACAAAATGCTTTAATACTTGCTCTTATAAATGTAGTCGCACACAAGCAGTCGAGGTATTGTGTGTAGTTAGAAATCTAAGCAGCAACTCTTACCATAAGAAGTACTTCTCTTATAGCTGTAAAAATCCTCCACGAGTGGACACAGTAACGAGCCGCCAGCGGTTCTGTACGCTCGCTCCTGGGAGTCGGCACCACTCACCAACAAACAGATCAAAGCGGTCAAAACCACAAATCCACAACCACACTGAACAGGACACATGCTGTTTGCTGCCATTTCTGAAATTGTATTGCATAAATAACATAATAATAATAATAATAATAATAATAATAATAATAATAATAATAATAATAATAATAATAATGATAATAATAATAATAATAATAATAATAATAATAATAATAAATAATAATAATAATAATAAATAGTAATAATAATAATAAAAGTAGTAGTGGTGGTGGTGGTATTAACGACAACAATTGACGTTTTTAACAAAGAGCATGAAATGCGTCCTTGTTCTCGACGACTTGCTCCATCGCTACCTTAGACCCGTTTCTAAGCCTGAGAAAGATGTTCCAAACATAATTGACTGCAGAATCATTACACTCCAAAACACCTTAGGGAAAGTCATGGAAAAAAACGTGGCCAAAACGTTTACCCAAAATTCAGAGTCAAATGGTCTTTCGACACTACACTAGGTGAGTATCGAGAGATACCTGTAATATGCGGATATATCTTCTGACGACATCTATGAGGACAGGCTTGAAAACAGCCGCAGCCAGAGGTGATTTATAAAACACGCACAACAGTGTCCTACAAAACATACTCATGATATTGTTGTCATACACATGCACATCAAGACGAAATAGGTTCACAGGATTGCAGCCAGGGATCACAATTGTATCCTCTCATCTTGAACGTATACACCACATACAAGTAATTAAACAGTGCCCAGTTAATTTGTTTATGTAGAACAGTGTCGTTCGTACACAATATCCTTGTGTACCGAACGGGAAAAAAAACATGAATAAAACTACAACAATGCTGTTAGTTAGTTAGTTAGTTAGTTAGTTATTCCTCTTGTGCCAAAGATGGCGCATAGGGCAGAGGTCATAGCTTTCCACGTCTGTCGGTTCTTTGCCACTTGATGTAGGTCTTGAGTGCGACTGAGACCTATGGTTGAGCTCTCCCTTGTGATGGTTCTACGGAGAGTTTCTTTTGGTCTTCCCTGTTTTCTTTTACCCTCTGGTGACCATATGAAGGCTTGGTGGGGAAGTCTCTGTATGTCCATTCTGAGTACGTGACCGATGTAATTCCAGACACATATTTTTGTTTTGTTTCCTGTCTTATAGATGTATTGGACCTAAAGTCCGACCAGTGAACATTCAATAGCTTTCGGAGGCATCTATTCTCGAAAGCGACTAGTTTCTTATCGATTGATACTGATGATTTCCAACTCTCACAACCATAAGTTAGCACTGGGATCACACAGGAATTGAAGACCTTAAGTTTCGTGTTGTTGCTGAGTGATCTTGACTTCCAAATGTTTGACAGTTTGTTAAAGGCACTTGATGCTAACGCGATTCGATTCGTTATTTCTGATGTTGTATCTCCCGCAGAGGTTATCTTGCTCCCTAAGTATGTGAAGCTGGTGATTTTTTCAAGAACAATATCCTTTAGTTTGATGTCTTTCGACTCGTTGGTAAGATCGATGATTTTCGTTTTGGCTGCGTTGACCTGAAGGCCGATTTGGCTTGAAATATTCTGGAGGCGGTCCATTTTTTCCTGAGCTTCTAGATGTGTTGTGCTCAGGAGTGCTAGGTCGTCAGCAAAGTCAAGATCTTCGAGAACTTTGTCGACCCATTTGATGCCTAGATGTGTGTCCTGTGTAACAATGCTGTTGCATGAACAAAACTGACTCAGCGAGTGGTGCCAGTAATCAAGAGCACATCTAACCCGGCAAAGGCCTCCTTATCATGGTTTTTCTTGAATAACCACATTGTCAGTCAACCTATGCCAGTCGTCAGCATGTGTGCTATAAACATCGAGAGAACCAACACGATGAAATATCTCGCCATGACCTTTGACATTTGCTGGTAATACAAGCATGACGCAGACAGTGTCATAGGTAGGTCTAGTAAAGGTCTGATGGCATCAGTGGGCATGGTGACAGCCCATATTGAATAACGCCTACTTTTCCCCCTCTATTATTAAGTATTATAGACTACGGTCAAGGCCTCCTCGCTGTCAGCAGAACTCAGACAGAAAGACTGGACCGGATACAAAATGAGGCCATGAGACTCATGCTCGGCTGCACACAGGACAGATGGTGTCACACCATGCGATACGTCTGGCGTTTCCCGACTATGGCCAGCAGACAGAAAATGGCACAGGTTCAGGCGTACGTAAGAGCATCAGCAGTCATTATCCACTCACTTCACAACACTACCATCATCTTCATGCCTTTGCACCTCTGCCTTTAAGCGTTGTGGAGAAGAACAGTTTCAGATCCATTGCTTGATGGGTAACAATAGCTATTGCCATTCCACGTCGATGTAGAGGCTCTTTAATGTCATCAATTCATTATCTCTAGGGCGGCCTGTTGTTTCACTTCACATATTTTCATTGTATCGCCTGCCTTAGTAGTTATTCTGGCTGCATTCTTACAAGATTATCAAACAATTTGATCTTCTATTTCTCTGGGAATTTACTACATAGTACTCTTCCTCGGATGGTTAAGTTGGCGGATTTTTCTGGCGTCTCATTTCACATGTGTTAAATTTATGTAGGTTAGCCATTGATAATGTCTAAGTCTGGCACTGGTAGCATCGTATTGGTTTGAATATGGTGTTCACAATCTGTTTCTCTAGCGCATTCTTATGTTTGGATGTCTTAATAACGGTGTCAGTTGGTACATAGCTGTACTGACCTGTTGGCATCTTGTTTCTATTTCCCGATCTATTCACCCGTCATCAGAGAATATACTTCCTAGATTTTTAAATTCTGTAACTTGCTTCAGACGACAAGTACCATTCAATCTGAGATGTAGTGGACTAGGAATTCTGCTGACCTGCGTTAGCAACGATATGCATGCCATACAAAATGATCACGTTTCAAAAGAGGCTTCTCCTAGATGGCTTAAAATCAAATCGAGCAAGTATATGACGTAGACTAGAGCAGTGACGAAACAGACTGGAAAAATACACCAGTACACATGTATCACCTGCCTAAGTTGTCATAACAGCAGGCAGGTACTGCATGGATCAGATACATGCAGCCGTAGACACCGAGATAAGGGCACTGACTGGTCAGCATTTATCACCCACAGACATCATCATTTACACAGATGGGCCCAAGAAGCGGGGATCGAGGTCAATATGGGCATATACAGCACAAAGGATGGGGGACAAATAAAAGAAGATAGTGGCGCTTACCAGGCAACCTCGTCAAGCATGACCATGAAGATAGCTGATGCTTCCAGAGACCACATAAGGGTTGCCTATCAAGCGGCCAGACATGTGGCAAGTGTTTCAGACTCCATGATAATGCTTTAGATCATTGCAACAGCTTATGCTCTGAATGGTAGACAGCGTTTGAAAGTCGCAGTTAACCTCCATCATCTGCATATAAACACCTGGACATGCAGGATTAAAAAGTAGTGAAAGAGCCGTCCAACTGGTAATGAATGAATGAATCAAGAAGTGACATCCTTGCACTCAGGACCTTCCCACTCGTGCTCCATCCCATTCTTTAGCATCCAACTAAGAGTTGACACGGTAATGTACCAATTGCAGCCTGATTAAAAGTCTGTCTCTTTGTCCTCTTCAGTGTTGAATATCTTCCAGAAGGTCTATATATCCACCCCTCTCCCAACATTTCCTGTTGAATTATTCTTTCATGGATTCCTGTCTGTTATTTTGCACTGTCCATTTGATTCCATGGAGCCTACATCACACCCGCTTTATCATATGGTAGCTTACCGGCCAGAGAAGCAGCAGCAGCCAATCTGTCAGGCTGCTAGTTACCTTGTGCACCTGAAAATCCAGTCAGCCTGCTCGTTACCTCGCACACCTGAATATCCTGTCAGCCTGCTCGTTACCTCGTACACCTGAATATCCCGTCAGCCTGCTCGTTACCTCGCACACCTGAATGTCCCGTCAGCCTGCTCGTTACCTCGCACACCTGAATATCCTGTCAGCCTGCTCGTTACCTCGTACACCTGAATGTCCCGTCAGCCTGCTCGTTACCTTGCACACCTGAATGTCCCGTCAGCCTGCTCGTTACCTCGCACACCTGAATATCCTGTCAGCCTGCTCGTTACCTCGCACACCTGAATGTCCCGTCAGAAAATCCACAATATGCTCCTGATCTAGATCTTATCGAGTGATAAGCCACTCTGCTCACAGGTCGCCAGTTTCCATTTCCCTAGGCATGCTCTGTGAGTCTGTTACAATTACAATATGTCGGGCTGTGTTGCTCTCAAGCCATGGGAAAGCTGACCTTACTGTCTCCACCTCTATTCTTTTACTGGATGTAGTGACGATGTTCGCGATGTTCTCTGTTTTCATGAAGTATCCATTCACTCTGCAATAAAAAACATCCACTCTTCTAACCTCTCACCACAGACCCATCTGTATATATTATGATGTCACCTGGGCGTGAATGTTCATTATTCAGCTGTTGCACCGCTGACTATTTTTCACCAGCTATCAATTCCCGGCACCCACGCTCCAGTGTCACTATTTTTCTGTGCAAGTCTGTTGCTGGGCGGCACTGTAATCCATTCTTCACAAGGCGTTATCTTGTCAATAGCACAAACATGTCTGATCGTGACCTCTGCTTGTGCCATCCAGGAGCGACATTTTTTTTCCAGCCGTTGTTCCTTGTCTGTTTTGTGGTTTTCTCTAAACAAGAGGATCGTAGAAACTAATGTACCAAGTCTCAAGATAGATGGTAGAAACGTCAATAGAGAGAGCAAACTGAAGTATCTTGGAAATTGCATTTGACAGGAGCCTGTCCTTTAAGGACCATGTGCAGAGTGTTGTGACAAGATGCTAAAAAGGACTTGGTGCACTTAAGACTATGGATGCAATTGACATAGAGCAGAGAATGCTTTTCACACTATATCAGCACCTGATTATGTCAGCTTTTAATTATGTCCTGTGACTGCTTAACGTCTCAAAGAGTCAGATGGAGAAACCAGATCGCATACAGAACGCAGCTATGCGGGTCCTTCTGGGTTACCCCAGAGACACCCCAGT